AGATATTACTATTAATCTAACTTGGATGCTGGTGTGAAGAAATACGATTCTTTAGGAGAAAAAGGGAAATTTATATCATCAATATAAAGAGAACAATTAGTGGATAGTAAGGACTTGCCGTCACAGACTCATGAGTGAGTTGCCAATTTGTCTAGTGATTTTCGAAGTTTTTAGTGTCATTAAAAATTCATAACTTTCTTATTAGTTATCCGATTGTGCTCAGACTTTTTTGATTGGTTAGTCTGAATTTCTGCTTCTATTGAAAGTAAGTTATTTTTGGAGTGGACTTGGGCTTTAACTGTTGATACAAAACACTGTAAGTAATGGACAACACACGTTGTTCAATACTATATATATGTAGTAATGTCATTATGTAAGTAATACATTTAAATTTATTACAAAGTTCCAAATTAACATAGTTAGTGCCAAGTCGAAAAATGAAAAAGAAACAAAAGTCGTTACGAATTACTTTTTTCGTTTTCTGGTCTAGATTTTGTTATTTGATAGCTTAGTTGCACCGCCAAACCGACTTAAAACCAACCGATTCTTTGTCATGAAATGGAGATCTATTTTTTCGCTCGGTCTACTACCGGTCTCGTAGAGTCACCAGGGTACGAGAAATCATTATTTGAGTAGTATCGTGACTACTTAAAGCAAGAATTGATAACCTTCTCTTTAATTACTACGAGGCCTCAACGACCCAATTCGGTTTGCATACAAGTGTCAAACATAGCATCCGTGATATTATAGCTTTCAGATTATTTGATCATAGTCAGCTAAGAACTGTCAAATCAGTCACTCGAATGAGGCTTTAAAAGGCGTGCTATTCACACTAATTGCCTCGCTGAGGAAAGTAAGTCTGGTCGCTGGTAATAGCCAAGGCTTTATCACTTATCTGTGTAGTTGCTGAATGGGAAGGACTGAATTTTTAACAGCGGACATAAAAACATGTTGATTACATGTATGTGTCCTTTCGGTTGATCCCTTTCTGATGTTCAAGTCTTCATGCTTACTGATCGTCTCTTGACAACCATCAACAATGCTAAGTGTCGATATTTGTCTGTGCTTTGTTTTTGTTTTCATCGGATTTCTCGTGATATCGACAAATGTCTGCTCTTTAGTTATCCTTCGAAGACATTGGAGTGTCTTTGAAGAAGTCCCACGATTCCTCTATCGATATATTGGAGTGGTAGATCTAATAGGTGGCCTCTCCGGATGCAGTTGCTACATTCTCTACATTGTGGAAAGTGACTGCCATCGCTCACAAGTGTACAGATTCCTATCCTGGACATTTTACTTAGGATTTCTATTCTCTGCCATCACAATATCGTGTCTCAATATCGACAGATATATCGCGATAAGCAAACCGCTACGGTATCCATCAATCGTTAACATTCGTTCTGCCGTTTGTTGTCTCGCTTTAGCAACAGGCTTCCCCTTATTATTTATGCTCTTATGTTATATACCAGGAACTCCCATGGAGAAGATATATCGTCTCACCTCCACGTGCCAGAATGGAACTGTATTGAGTGTGAATTTTACTTCTTCGGAAAAAGCAATCGTCGCCACGCTCTATTCCCTATCCTTGGTGCCCGTTCTTACTGGTATAACGTTGAACTTAATATCCATGGGCATAGCTACTCGGCAAGCCCGAGCCATCGCCGCCTTAGCAGTGCCTCGTTTTGCTGGCGAGAACGACGCGGGACATCGCAGAGTTGAACTCAAAGGGGTCAAGACTGTCTTGTTCATCAGTGTAGTGAATTTGATCTCCTGGGTGCCCACCATTGTACGATTATTCCTTACCATTGCAATCAGTAGCCCCCTGTCAAAGACTGCTGATGCTCTTCTGACAATGTTAACGCTTGTGAATTCCTGGAGCAATGCGTTCATATTTGCTCGGACCAATGCAGCCTATCGACGTGCAGCCAGAGAAAGCTTTCGATCAATCTTTTGCTTCAAAAACTAACTGCGCTTTCTTACGACTTTTGTTGACGAGTGCAAGTTGACAGCCCTAGCCTTGTTGTCCATTGCCTGATATCGGAAGGTATTTATAACAGCGTACTAATTTTTGTCTAGGTCTAAGCCCAGAATAAAGTAACCTGTGATTTATGGAGCACTGACCGTCAACTTTATCATAAATATGTTAGTAAATGGACAAACCTAGTTTGTGTAAGGGTAAAATGTGTAAGAGACTAATTGAGGACGGGGGTCTTATTTTTCACGATCAAACTTTCTCTTCTTAAAAATAATATTTACGGAATTAAATAGCATTGTTTTGTGTTCCCATTGCTACGATCAAAATGAACCAAACATGTTCATCAAATATTCATTTTGATTTTTGAAAACTACTGTTACAAATTGGCTGATCAATGGTTTTTCTCGAGAAAAAAGTATATATTGGAATAAATATTTTTTGTTTCGTAAGTATATCTAAACTTGTCTTCTATGTGTACGATATATCTAATTTCATTCTTTCAAACTTTGTCTAATACATTCAATATTTCAGAATTTCTGTCATTTTTGTCAATGAGTGCTATGCATCCACAGTCAGTCACCTTTAATTGCCACCAGGTATAACAGAACCTTCTCATCGTCAATATTGACGTGATTGAACACGACAAAACAGGTTGTAAGTGATAAGAAAAGATTCATTTGACTTGATTCTAGGTAGATCATTCACGATTAATGGCAATATTTGTTTGACATGTTCATTCTCTTTTTTGGATGCCAATTCATCAAAGATTCTCAATTACTTTTGTAAATATATGTCGATCAATCATTTGTAAGAGAAGTAAGAACAATTAGTCAAAGCAATAGATTTTGCCAATGGGAACTATTCATCATGTACCAGGAGACAAACATATGGGGACCTCGAACAATATTCCAAGTTGTTCGTACAGTCATTTTACATGAACAAACAGCTGATAAAAATTGGCAAAGAAAATTGCGATTCCTTTTTGTGATAATGTAACTGTATAAGCTATCAAATAATCTTAAAATGCAGTTTAAAAAAAAAATCAAGATTAAAAAGAAGCCTGATCTTAAAAGTTAATAAAGGGCCAAGCTAGCAAGAAAACCAAGTAAATGCTAGATAAAGAAAGCAGTTCCAATGTATCAAAGCAAGCAATCGTTCGACATGGGGAAGCATTTGTTTGCTAGAACATGAAGAAGAACGTGGCTCCTGTTGTACGCTCCAAATTGCTCGGCTTTATTTCTCTAATTGTATTTATGCGGCCCATGGGGTAGGAGCGTAAATGTATGCCTCTAGTAAAATAATGTGATTACCTAATATCCTGCATGTCCTATGGCAAAGTACTAATGTAATACCTAAAATTAGTGTCTTATTGTGTCGTGGTCGAGTGTTCGAGTGGTTCCGTCGCCGGATATCGATCACAAGGTCCGCTGATTCTAATATGTACTTGATGTCATTAAACAATGAACTTTCATTGATTTATAAAGCTAGATGTACATACCCTAGTGAATATTGGGTCAACATTGGGCTTAAGAAAAGCCCTATATTAGAACGAGCTATTATTATTATTATTATTACATGTATGTTCTTATTAAATAATCATATACTGTAAATAGTTGTATATTTTTTATGTTGGTAGTAGTGTGATATCTAATATATTATGTTTTTGACTTGATTTTATTTTCTTTTCATTTGCCGAATATAATGACAATTAATAATAGCGTACGTTAAAACATGACAAAAATAATTTCCCAGGATCGCCCGGCTAAGCTGTGTCATTACACCGCACCAAAAAACATATCTCAAAATAAATTATTAACATATGAATACAATATACCAAGCATTATTTACTCTGTGAATATGTTCGTGTTATTATATGTTTTTATAAGTTTTACTAAATCACTGTGACTTATAGCGTATGTTAATATTGTGAGGAAAGGAAAACAAAAGATGCAGAACGTGCCGCTGCAGAGTGAATCAGCAACATGTTCAAGCCCCACGGCACTAGTTCGGCCAGGAGGGATTAGACCTCTCAGCATGGTCACTGACAGGTGGTTATCTCATCACATCAGCTCTCAATTAACATAAGAAAAAGAGGATCATGGGGACCAATGGTCACCGATTATGCATTGTTTGCTTTGTAGAGGGCGCAAGTAGCTATAAGCAGTGCAGTGGGGCTGTAAAGTTGCCCACAAGTACATGTAAGTGTAAATTTAATATTATGCCGTTTAATGGGAAAATTATAATCAATGTGAAAGTCTGTTTGATAAAGTGAATATTTAACACCCGCTATGTCCCTTACACCAACGATCCCCAAAACACGCACACTCATGTGACTAAAAGATGATTCAACGAATGTGTGATTTAACAACACCCAATCACCCACACTTATAAAATCACGCACGCGCACATTTACACACACAGACATATGAGCTAAAAAAACTGAGTCAATGGAATTTTCTTCGATAAGTAGTCTGTTTGATAAGAATACACACCCACTCACGCACACACAGTCATACACACACTAACACACAGACTAAAAATCTAAATAGATGAAAGTTTGTATAATAAGCATGATAAACATCGACACACCACCCACATATACAAACGCACGCACACCTGCACAATCATACACCTACACACCTACCTACACTTCGCAAAAATGAATATGTGTCATTTTGTTTGATAAGAAAAACAACACCCACTCACACTCATACACAACGAACATTTTCTCACACACATGCCCACACACACGCTAAGAAAAATATCCAATTGATTTCATCAAGAACTGAAAACAGATAATGGCTTGTTTAGCAACATTATTCCATTGAATGGGAGATTTCTAATCAATGTGATAATCTGTTTGATAAAGTGAACGATACCCAACCGTTATCACGAACGTTATCACATAGATACTCAAGCACACGCACACGTGCACAGGCACACACGCGCAGTCACATCCACACACAAACACACCTCTCGAGAGTATTTTACTTAATGCAGAATGATTAAAGACACATACCGTACGTAAATGATATTCCAAAGTTTATTAATTTCAATCATGACCTTATATAAAATGCAAATCTGTGTATGAAATTACATTTGTTACAATAAAAATGGCCGCAATTTAGGGTTAGACCCGCATACCCCCCCCCCCCCCTGCCCTCTGAAATAAAATAGTCATTAAAATCGTATGACTCAAAAAGAGATATCCAATTTCTACAAAAGTCATTCAGGAACGACATCAAGAAGAAGATATTGTTCTCTTCATTGATTTGAATCACATCTGACTTTAATTCTTCCCATCGATAGCCATGTTATATTATTTCTACGGCCCATCCCATAAGCCCCACCCTTGTTCTACAACGCACGGCAACGCACAAACTGACTACGCACAGATTAGAAATGCCCGTCCTTGTAATAAGGATGATCTAGAGCTGGATTCAGTCTTGGTCGCTCCTCATAATCTGGTCGATGGCCACGATGAGAGCAGGATCGACAGGAATGGCGAGGAACTCTTCAAGCGAGATCATCTCATCAGCTGCGAGGATGCATGGCGAGAAAAGATGGAACAAGAAACAAGTGTAAAAAGAAAAGAGCCTGCGAATGGTGCGAACGAAAATAGTAAGTGAGAAAGAAATGGTATAACTGATGACGTTGATTACCTCTATTTGATATGTCCACTATCTAACAACGATCTAGCTAGAGGCACCAAAATGTAATCAAACCCTCTATTCGAAATTACTTTACAGAGCACAAATACAGATGGGGCGTTTTATTTCGTCTACGAATTTTCACATCTTCCACTCCATATCCCTCTGCATGTATCAATTGTATATATGTATATATATATATATATATATATCTCGCTATCTCATTATCTCTGTCTCTACCCCTCTCCCGAAAACAATGTTTTCAGTGGAGAGTCAGAACTGCGTCATTCATTAAATTGAGAAAATAATATCTTTCACTTACAGTTATAGTCGTGATCACCGATCATGTCAGCAAATGGTCTGACTTTACCTCCGTCATCGAACCATTCTTTAACATCAAGCTGGTCGTCACCGTTGAGGTCGAGTACTTCGAAGAGTTTCCCGCTGATGTCGATATTGACCAAGGTATCATTTTCGATGCTGCGCCTGAAGCTAATTTTTTGCAGAAAAAAGAAGAAAAAAAGTATCTCAACGGTTTGAGCTGTGATAATAAATAAGTTTGCCACAACTTAATTATATTATTATTAATAATCATGTTGATTTTTTTGTCCAGTGTTTCTCCATACGTAGCTCAAATTAATATTGTTTTTTATAATAACAAAGAGTAAGCATACATTAGTTCATGGGGATGTACAACCCCTCCCCCTCCATCTATATCTATTTTGTTTTTAAACACCGATATCGGTTCACGAGAGATGTGAATGTGAGCAGGGCCAAGCGAATAGTTCGGGGCTTTAGGTGGTGCTAAGAGAGGCCTTAGTACCACCAAAAAAAAAAGATGTTAGAAAAGCCAATAACTTACCGGACAGTGAATCCAGCGTTCACGCGTGGCTCACCATTTGGATCCAAGCCGACCTTAACGTCCACCTTGGTGTTTTCATTCGGCCTGTATAGTTATGATAATGTTTAAGAAAGAGAAAGAGAGAGAGAGAGAGAGAGGGAGAAAGAGAGAGGGAGAAGGGGAAGAGGGAGTGATAAAGAGATGGGGATTGGAGAGATTTGAAAGAAGTTTGAGTAGATCCACAAAACATTAGAGTAAATAAAATAGTACACTATTTGCCAATAAACTTATGATACAGGCAAAGAAACTTTTAATACTAATCACCTTGTTCAATTTTTTTTCTTGAATGTTCGTATTCAGTACGAAGGGTTAACTATTCTGAACACATTTTTGCTCTATGAAACACAAATCAGGCTGAAATTTGAATTGAGTTAATAAAAGTACAACAACATTACATAACAAATGATACGAGCTAAAGAAACTGTTTGTATAATATTCCAAATGAAACATTATTATAATTTCAGCAATTATTGACAAGTTCTTTAAATTCTTTTCTTTAAATTAATTTCTTTTTCAGCATTTATTTGGACAAGCAACAACCACTATACGGGCATTGATATTGTGGACATTCAAGCAATAGAGGACAACCTACCCCCCCCCCCCCTCTCCGGCCTGGCGTAGATGTGACCCATACGACTTTTTAGACATCTGGAATTGAATTGGTATATAGCTACTGAGAAACACTGCTTCTAACGTAAATGTTCCCATCAATCTCTTTGTAACTGCAGTTTATCATCACTGAAATGATGCAAGTACGTATGTTTATTTCATACGCGTATCCTAATCAACATATTTTACAGAAAATTATTACATAATCTTGTGCTGATACATTATGGGGCAGAAAGAAAAGAAACAAAATTCAACAAAAATTCAACACATAGCAAAACAAAAAGGCCCGTGCACCACTAAGGTAATTACTTGCAATAATATGTCGCTTTATAAACGCTTTACCAGTTAATTGTACGGGCAGTGGCGTACGCAGGATTTTCCAAGGAGGGGGGGGGGGGGGGTTAACATTTTGAAATCGGGCCAAAAATTTCTCAACGACTGATCCAGCCGCTGAATAAGCGGGGGGGGGGGGGGGGGGGGGGGGGGGGGGTAAGAGGAAATTTTTTTTTTTTTTTTTTAGGGGGGGGGGGGGTCCCGAAATTTGAAAAGTGGACCGATCGACATTCCGTTCCGTTGGGGGGATTTTGGGGGGGGGATTTTGTTATTATTTTCATTAAAAATAAAGGGGGGGGGGGGGTTCCAAAAAAAGATAAACATTAAAAAAAAATAAGGGGGGGGGTGTCATTAATGGATCGTGACTAGCGTCACTCACCCACCGCACATCTGTGTAAGTTAACTGTCATGGCGCTACCCACTGTAGTCTCATTCGAGAACCCATGACGCAGCACATATGCTCATGTGTCTGTTTATAGAGGGCAGCACACGGACGTGCGATACCTATACCTTCTTGCGAACATTTTACGCACGGGAGCGTAATACCCATTGGGTCAATGTTGTGTAATGATTGCCAACTTGCCTACCTCGCGAAAAACCGAGTCTGGTCATGCGTGCGTGATTTATCCCGAGTTTCGATTGACAGTTCGTTATTAAGTTTTAAAATATCAAATTTATTGATATGTGATTAATTAAATACATTTGAAAATGTTCATGATAATTGTTTTGTGAAATATATTTGTTTACAATTTAATCTTGCAAGTTTTATTTGATATTTGATGGAAATTTGAAGATTATTTTATGTATTATGGTAATTATCCGGGCGTTGTTAGACCATGTTTAGCGAGCATGCAATGAACGCGTACATGATATTTCACTTTGCAAAAACGTTAACAAAAAGCGAAGTCAAATCACGAGCGAATTGTCAGAAAACTGAGACAAAATGGAGGGGAGGAAGGCGAGAAAGGGGTAAAAAGCAACATCAGCATATAGACCACATCATCGGATCGACCTGTACGATGTACATGACGAATAGAGGAGGCAGATTAACACTTTCTTCAGTAATAGCACCAGGAGCAGCAAGCAAAGTGACGCAGAATTTGCAAGGCATCTGCTCGCAATGCACACTCGTAAGTACACTGCAAATGTTCATGCAGACTTTCTATGACATCAAATATTCATGCAGACTTTCTATGACTGTATTATGTACGATTATTATATGGTATTACGCGCTAGTACTCCGAAACCGCTCCGATGTACACAGAGTTTCATTCGGGAGATTATAGCGGTGTCCGTGTGCTGCCCTCTATTTACCCAAGCATGAACATCTTTAATAAATAATGACTTTCTAACATGCACATACTGAGGTAAATACACTTTTGATGATATATCAGTCAGTGCGGTATATTCATTAATTTAAACTTGTGCTTTTGATAATAAAGAAAATGAGCAACAACAAAAACAACCATAACAGAAAACACGAACCGGTACTGCAGTTCAACATCGCCGTGTGGTCGAAATCTTCCGTCCAGAACATCGCTGATATCGACTCTGGGTCTCACGTTAATGTCCACGTCATGGCTAGGGCTATTAATTCCAAAAAAGAACAAGAAATGGTGGAAAAGATGGGATATTAAAAGCGAATATAACAGGCTTAAAATGAGACATCGTAGTCGTAATCCTCATCATCATCGCCACCATCATTATCGAAATCATTATCATCATAATCAACAACAGCCCCAACCCCTACAACAACGATACCAGAGATGTATAATAAGATAACCTTTGGCAAATGATTAATCTACATGTGCAAGTTATTTGTACACGAATGTACTGTTTTGTGTTACTCTTTCAATAAAGAAATCATCGACATCCTTATTACATTTTGTTCTGGCCTAAACTTTTAAATTCTCTGATTTTATAAACAAAAATACCTCATTACTATCAAAAAAGTTAATATCGCATATATCAAGAAGGAAAAAAAATTAGTTTTGGAAAATGGTCTAAAACGATACCCATGATAACTTTTAATAAATCGGATATAAAACTGGGACTTAAAGTTAATAGCCCTCATTTGCGCAACCTCTCCGATTTTGAGGAATTTCAATAACAAAAAAAAACATCTTTGGCATTAGAATGACCCCGATCAAATTTGAGAGCAAACAGACCAGTAGTTTTGAAATAAGAAAGAAATAGATTTTCCTTATTTTCTTTGATTCGAGAAAATATCTTCACTTCTTATCCCCAACCTATTTGTTCATTTGATCTAAACAATTTGCGCAGGATTATCCTCATGCGAAAAAGCTTGCACACATGGAATTTCATCGAAATTGGGGAGGATGTGCAAAATGCAATGAGGGCTACTGCCTCTAACGCATTTACTATTAACATCTGTAGGAAGGGCACTAGCATAAATCTTGTATGGATTCAAATTACTTCCATTTTAATTTCAAAAGAAACCAAACATTACAAAATTTAGCGAAAGAAGAACTACGAGACGTCAATACTATAGACAATTAATGTAAGCAATGAAAAGTTGTTGAGATGAGCTATTTTTTCCAATTTTAAAGATGTGGCTGTTCCTTTTTGGGGAATGGAGGTCTGATTAGTCAGTTTGAAATTTGCAATGAATCAAACGAAAGAGGAACAGGGGGGGGGGGGGAATGTGGAAACCCAATTTTAGTAAATGGTTAGTGGAAGGGTGTGAGCGATGAGAAGGTTGGGCTGTTGGGGAAAAGCATAAGATGAGAAGTGCGGCACACTATGAGTGATAAAATAAATAATTATGATACTTAATTGGAATAAGGAAGGGAGGAAGAAACGGAAAGTGAGAGAGGGAGAGAGAGAGAGAGAGAGAGAGAGAGGGGGGGTCAGGAACAGAAGACAGGTAAAATGTGTCACGTGACGTACCGGTGTTCAAGCCCGAGACCAATGAAGCCGCGTGACTTGTCGTATTCTGGGTAGAACTCCGTGTTGTCGGATAGATCTACGCCACCGGGGCGACCAGAACTAGAGCTGATACACGCAAGTGAGATGGCAATCAGCTGAGCAAGGAGAAGTGCGACCGCTGTGAAACGACCCATTTCTACTCTGCCATGAAGAGAGATACAGAGAGAGAGAGAGAGAGAGAAAGAGAGAGAGGGGGAGTCAGAGAGAGAGAGATAGAGAGAAAGGGAGGGAAAGAGATAGAGAGAAAAGGAGAGAGGGAAAGAGAGAGAGAGAGAGATGGAGGAGGGAAAGGAAGAGAGAGGCATAGCATAGAGAAAGTAAAACAGGAGAGAGAAGGACGAGGGAGAAGGGAAAGATAGGTTGAGAGAGAGAGACAGATAGAGAGAAGGAGGCCAAAATAATCGAATACATGTTATTTAAATATTACAGAAAATGATTATTGAGCGTGATATTATGCGTATTGGCTGTATGATATTGCCAGAATCTGCACCCATTATTGATTAATGCTTACCCAAGTATTGGCTGACACTTGCCCAAATATGAACAAAATTTTTATATTTCGTTTCGTTTATTTCATTTCCAAATCACTACAAAACAAGATGTTCAGGATTCACTTGACAAAATCCACTTCTGTATCCTCAAAAATAGCACAATGCACTTTATAAATAAGCATATTATTATTATTATTATTATTATTATTATGTGAGAATAGAGCTTGAAAAACGGTACCTAATTAAAAGCAAAAACTTGTTGTGGGCAAGTTCTCTGAATTAAGTTAACATTATCAACCCACAAAAATGTTTCATTGATGTCATAAGGGGGCAACAAGAAATTAACGAACACAATATGTACATGTAGATGGTACGGGAAATAGGGATAAGAAATGAAGAGGGGATGAGGGAAGAAGTGAAAACCTACACACACTGTGTGCACCATCTCCACTCCCAGTGGGGGTATGCCATTGCCATGACAAATCCTGTCCCACCTTTTCGCATCCAATTATTCCTCTAAAGGTAAAACAAAAAAGGCAGCGATGTAGATAAAATGCCTCGCTGGCGGACATGCCTGAGGCTCGAACCTCGGAACCTCTGATCGAGAGCCGGGTCCTCGATCCACTCGACCATGAAACGTTGATAAAAGATATAATATAGCCTCTACATTATGATTAAACAGAAAAGGTTATGAAATTCATGGAAATCTGACAAATAATGAAGAAATGAAACTTTATGAATTGAACTAAACTGAACTGATTTACTCACCGGTAGTTTAAGTCTGCGACGGTCCGAAATGACCGACAGATGAAGAGATCTTGAGAGATATTCAGTGAAGCAGATGGTCGTAAGATGAACAACTACCAGCAGCTAATGGAATAGTCGTGAGTTGCTTGATCTTATATGCTCTTTTCTCGTCATTTTCCCGTCAGAAAATTAAGATGAATATTCAAGGTGATTGTTGCAAAAGCTACAATTGGTTAACCTGGAACCGAGCCAAAACTATGTCATTCGATAACTGTCATTAAAAAAAACAGAAAAGCGTACACGTGGCAGTGTTAGAGAAATCTGATTGGTCATAATGCTCCTCGTTTTAAATCCTGAATGGACAATAGCAACGCACGTGATCAAGGACGAAGTCCCTGATTGGATGACGGGCGTATATCCTTGCGTGACAGATTGTAAATCGGTAAGTCGTGCACAAGTTAACCACAAAGTGGGAGGATGGCCGTTTACTCAGATGGGGATGTGATTGGACAAAGTACAAACCTCCCACAACACCAGGTACTGAAGTTTTCTTAGTGGTCAATTGTAGTGGCTGATGATTAAAGTCTCAATCCAACATTTTTCAATGAATAAATAAAACGATAAGCTGGGCGAAGCTTAATGTTCTCACCATGTCAACATGTCCAGTATAGAGTAAAATGATCATCTTGAGATTTGTTTTCTCATAAAAGGATCACCGATTGGTGTGAACAAAAGTGCCCTATATACATGTATGAACTTTACTAACCCGTTACGTCGACTGGTTATTTTAACTTAATCGATCGTAATTTCAAAGGCAAATTTGTTTAGATTTTAGAGGGCTTATTCATTAATTTGGAAACGATTATAAATATCAAACTCCATATTTCTGCATTTTAACCTCTAGAATGCCAATGGTGTCCGAAGTAGTTGTAGGAGTAGTAATAGTAGTAGTAGTAGTAGTAGTAGTAGTAGCATTAGAAGAAGAAGTAGTAGTAGTAGTAGTAGTAGTAATGGTAGTATTAGTAGCATTAGAAGAAGTAGTAGTAGAAGTAGTAGTAGTAGTAGTAGTAGTAGTAGTAGCAGTAACAACAGCAGTAGCATTGCTAGAAATATTAAATAATACTGATGATAAAATGAAATTCATACGGGCACATCCTTGATCCATTAATTGCGGGTCATGCGCAATATTATCCAGTTTAAGACAAAATCTAATACACTTTGTGCCCCAACTAAGGAAAATTACCTGAACAATTTGCAATCCAGAACTTACGAAACAATGTAGTAGTAGTAGTAGTAGTAGTAGTAGTAGTAGTAGTAATAGTAGTAGTAGTAGTAGTAGTAGTAGTAGTAGTAGTAGTAATGGTAGTAGTAGTAGCATTAGAAGAAGTATTAGTAGTAGTAGTAGTAGTAGTAATAGTAGCAGCTGTAGTAGTAGTAGTAGTAGTAGTAGTAGTAGTAGTAGTAATAGTAGCAGCTGTAGTAGTAGTAGTAGTAGTAGTAGTAGTAGTAGTAGTAGTAGTAGTAGTAATAGTACCAGCTGTACTAGTAGTAGTAGTAGTAGTAGTAGTAGTAGTAGTGGTAATAGTAGCAGCTGTAGTAGTAGTAGTAGTAGTAGTTGTAGTAGTAGTAGTAGCAGCTGTAGTAGTAATGGTAGTAGTAGTAGTAGTAGTAGTAGTAGTAGTAGTAGTAGTAATAGTTGTAGTAGTAGTAGTAGTAGTAATGGTAGTAGTAGTAGCATTAGAAGAAGTAGTAGTAGAAGTAGTAGTAGTAGTAGTAGTAGTAGTAGTAGTAGTAGTAGTAGCAGTAACAACAGCAGTAGCATTGCTAGAAATATTAAATAATACTGATGATAAAATGAAATTCATACGGACACATCCTTGATCCATTAATTGCGGGTCATGCGCAATATTATCCAGTTTAAGACAAAATCTAATACACTTTGTGCCCCAACTAAGGAAAATTACCTGAACAATTTGCAATCCAGAACTTACGAAACAATGCAGTAGTGACTTCCTTTATCAGGGATGAAATGGCATTGGGACAGATCACTCAAGGTCCGTAAAAAAAAACTGAAGAAATAATTTTAAATGATGAGAAATCGCTTTTGTACGGCACATAGAATAAATAAGTTTGGATGATGTTGAAGAAAATACAACTCTTAGTCAATACCATTTAACTTCTGTTGGAAACAAAAATATAGTCCAATTATTTCTAATTTTTTTTGTATTAAAGTTATGTTGATAAATTAAGGCAACTCACAAATCTGCAGGGCGTAAATGCAGAAGGTAAATTGTTAAAGAAAATATACAGCTTTAAATTTGGCGTGCAGTTTTGTCATGACTGTACATTTAGGTTTTTTTTCCTCCAGAATTGGGACCATTGCCCCTAACTGGTATAACCATTCATCCTACTCTGTTCTTCATACGTGATATTTTGATACATTGCCAACAAGCGAGAGGGTAAAACCCCCCAATTGTACCCTTCAGACCGCTCTGTAGTCTTGATTTTAGACCCGTGAATTCCCCAACAAATCCCAGGTACTCCATTACGGAACCATTGCGGAACCGAACGTCTTATACTGAATCAAATTTGGTTGAAGAAGGATTTAAAGGTAGAGACCAGTTATGGTCATGCGATTGCATTGTGAAAGAAACGTTGTGGAATCGATCAGAAAAGGTTGATCATCTAGCATCTAGCATCTGCAAGGTTCTGGAATCATCAAAATGATAAGAAATTTGGCCCATTCTTCGTAAAGTTACAAGCACTATACACAGATTGATGTATACGGGACTACCCTATATCTCTCACAGACCATGAGAGAAACAAATTTATCAAATATATGAATTAGTAGGCGGTTTCCAAGCAAATTTTTTATCATCATGTATTAGTCAAAACATATTCTTTCACATGATTGGTAATGAGAGCTTCCATTTCATTTTTTGAAATTGGGGCGTTTCCAATACTGGTCTTTACCTTTAAGCAAATTCTGTTCATTTTTTGCATTATTGTGTTTATTGAACACCATCCAAGACCATCATCGCAAAGGTAACGAAAGGTAGGCGCCCTCAAAATCTCCTCAATGTTGATGAAATTCCAAGGGTAGCAGCTCTCCGGTCCGGGCTGGTATTCAATAAGCAAAATTAAAGGGACTTTGTAATATTGTTCGGATGAGGGAAAATGGTGCTAAGGTATTGACTTCAATGTTAGATGTACGATTAAAGATAATCTGAAACATTGAGTGAAAACAGACCATTATTAATGATGAAAATTAGGGAAAACTGATACAATCGATTCCTTACCCCGTTCCTCAACATAAAAAATGCTCTGTACGGCCCTGCATTATGGCTCAAGGCATGGGTACACAGAATATTTTGTTTATGTTGGGGACCGGGGGGGGGGGGAATTCAATGAATTATTGAAAATTCATTGCATTTTCTTTTTTCTTTATTTGTGGGAACTGCCCTCCTACCCTATCCCCCGCTGCGTACAGTCATGGTTCTGTGGCAAAGCAATGCCATCGTAACTGTGAGGCCCCATGATCAAAACCATGTCGATGTGCTATATTAGTGCCTTTTTGTAGGGCATTAATCCTCATTACTGGCATTTATGACTTAAGGGCGTAGGTCCCCTAGTTGATAAGCATATTAGCATACACATGCTTTAGCAGTCACGCAAAACAAACACCGGAAAATTATTATTCAATACATTCTGAGAATGTATACTATTATCTAGATCGAGCATTAGGAAGAAATCATTGTCAAAATAATTCCATAAATTGGAGTAAAAAAAAATATTCCAACGTTATGAGCGACAGTGTATAAAAAGAGGAACACGTCCCCCGGAATTAGTATCAATTTTTTCGAGATGGATAACGATAGTTGAACTTTACCTTTCAATTTGTCACGGAGGCGAAATAGGTGATCTGCCGCTTTGATCGAGACATAACACATGTACCAACTTAATTGGTATTTAAACAAATAAAAAAAAATAACAAAATGAAAGTTAAATGCATGAAATGATTGCTGGAATCATTTAGAATTAGATGTTAGTTTTACTTGTAATAAATGAATATTGATAACTGTGCTAATAAATGGACATGAAGAATAGTGAAAGCATTCAACCTTTGTTCTAGATTTCCTTTAAATCCCATATGCACTAGTTTGGCCAGGAGGGATTGGACCTCCCTGCAAGGTCACTGACAGGTGGTTATCTCATCAAATCAACTCTCAATTAACATGAGAAAAAGGGGGCATTGGGGGACCAATGGTCACCGATTAGGCATTTGTTGCTATATAAAGGGCGCAAGTAGCGGTAAGTAGTACAGTAACTCCCTAGCTAACAGGGACGGCGATCCCGGGGGACGGAGGGTGGGGACACGCCCCCCCCCCCCCTCCCTGAAAATTTGAAAAGTGCTTAAAAAATATTATATAGCAAATACTGTACAAAGACTGCAAAACACTGGAGGACCAAATAGTGAAGCGTATAGACTAATAAACATTCAAAAATCTTCACGCTCGGTCGTTACGCTCCCTCGCATAATATCATTCAAAATGTACAAGTAAATATTGTAGAAAATCTGAATTATGTTAGTATCACGTAAACATAGTGTATACTTTAAGCTTAATAAAAATTACCAACTTAATATTTATAATCCCTCGGACTGCACACTTGTTACCGGCAAAGTAAAAGTAAAGTTTGAAAAAAAAGTTTCAAGTTTCAAGTTTCGAGTTTATTTGTTTCACATTTCACAAAATATAATTCACATAATTGACAAAATTATAACATAATATAATATAAACTAAAGGTATCAAATTATACATGTATATATTCTTTGTAAACACGTCGAAAGTGATTGTATTGAATAGTAGGTTATACAGAGTTAAATGTGAGGACCCTTTTAAAAAGCTCGGCTTGTAGATTATAGGTTTCCCTAAATAAAACTAACATTTTATTGAAGTGGTTGCAATGGTGAAGGACGTAACAATAATAACAGATGGGCAAGAAGGCCTTAACATAAGATGATATGCAAAGTGAAACAAGCAAAAATAGCAAAAACAGCAAACAAATTAATTTTTTACGA